TAAAATGCACAGTGATTTTAGTCAGAGACAGGTGACCAATGAACTTTTTGCCTTTTGTATTGGGAGGAGCATTCAGTTTTATTTGAATGATCAGATATTTGCATATGCAGTATGTCTTTTGCCAATGTAAAACCTCTCATTAATTACCTAAGTAATCATTGTATAAGAGAGATGCAAACACCCGAATTTATGAATGACCTTATTTTCTAAATTTACTGTTTAGTTACTAATGTTAGTGATTTTAAAACTGAAAACTTTCCAGATCACCATGCAAAGCGTTTGTAAAGATTTTAAATGCCAACAATAAAGATAGGGAAATATCTTTTAATTATTCAGATATTTTCATAACTTTATAAAATAATGAGGCTTTCATTTAAGTAGAAAAGCATACACAATTCTGCAAAGAACAGGAATTTCAGCAATCCAAGAAAGCCCAAAACTAAGCAGTCAATAATTAAATTATATTTGTAAATTAGAAGAGTATGCACCTGGTGAAGATAGGAAATGGAAGTAGCTCAGGGTGATAAGGCTCATCTACTGGGTAAGGAATATCACAAATGTAAAAATCTAGAACTCTTGGTTCCAAAATGATACCTTTTATTTAGACCAACTAAGAAATTGCAAAAAAATATTTTTCTGCAAGTTCTAGATTTTTGCATTTATTTTTGTCTCAGACCAACATGGCTACCACATACATCTCTGAAGTAATCTCATATCACTTTAGATTATCTTCAGGTAATATTTTGCTTGAAATCATTTACTCATGGGTTTGACTAGAAGATTTGGATATTAGACAAAATGGAGTCTTTAAAAATTATTATCCTTTATCAAACTAAATGTATGTGGCACTTATATAATGCCATTAATCCACTGCTTTTCTGTTTATCACTCATCTATTTTGCACATAAGTTACTATAGGACCCAATCAGATACAGGACTACAAAATAGCTGGGAAGAAATGAAACTGTTCCACCTAATGGAAGGGTGCTTACATATTGTTTTGGATAATCTCTTAAAGAGAAAAAGAAAACAAAACTACAGACAGAAAAAAGCCCAAACAAGTAAAAAAAGGCTGCCAGCCATCATTTTTGCATTAAATGAGGGTTTGGCCTGTTGAGCATTTAGGTAGTTGGTATTATCCCTAGATCCTTCCTAATCAGGGAGTCCAAATTTGCAAAAGTAGTTTTCAGTACATGATATAATTATATCCAAGAATGTCAAACAAATATGAAATTTTAAGTCACATTATGCAGGATATTATTGGTTCTTAACTCTTGTATTTTTCAGCCAGAACAGTTTTATTCTTATCTGCTTATGCTAGTACATATATGGCACTCATCAGTTTAATATCAGAGTACCTCATTAATAATAGATTGCAAACCTACTTGAGGGAAGGGAGAAGCTGTGAGGATGAAATCAAAGTAGTGAATTCATTTGTAAAAAGGCACAAAAGGCAGGCAAAGCACCCAAAATCATAAAAGAAGTTTGAAGTCTCTTGAGTCCCAGGTCAGTACTCTTTCTGCCACATCACCCAAGTCCGGGGTACCCCACCCTACGGGCCATATCTGACCCACAGAGCCATACTATCTGTACCACAGGGTCCCCATGCGTCTACAAATTTGGCAGTGGGAAAGCAGTGGCATTTTAACTGCCTCTCCCGCGATGTCAAATTCCTGGATCTGGGAGGAGGCCCACAGGCTGGAGAACATGGCCTGCACGTTGGATTGAGCATGCAGGGGCAGCATAGGGTGGTGCAAAGCTGAGCAGGGCCAATTAGGTGGTACGGGACAATGCAGAGTCGAGCAGGGCCAAATGAGGCAAGGCAGGGTAGTGCAGGTCTGAGCAGAGCAACACGGGCCTGATACTAACACAGGGTTTCAGTCTGGCCTGTGAACTGGCCCTATGCGACTTATCCAGCTTGCAGGGCTAAATTTTGGGAACCACTGCCCTAATCTTGCGACTACTGTAAGCAAAATTTCTACTGTACTACGAGCATGCAAAATATGTACTGCTATAATGAACGTGAACAAAAATGTTTGTGAGCTACAAATGGAACTGAAGAGGGGATTACAGGAATTGTGTGCTATTCTCTTCATACAGTCGGCAGTATTTTCTAAAACAATGATGTTTTTCCTTACAAATAATAGGTGTTAAGTGATGTTTGAGAGAGCATGCAGAGGCTCACATCTGCATCAAGGGAACCTATTTTCTGTTTTTAGCAGGAAGCCATCTCAATGTTGTGGTTAAGGACATTTTCAGGCTTTTTGGAAAGCAAAACAATGGAATGAATATAGTATATTTGCACAGATCATTTAGGAAATTCAATGAAGTGAACAATGAGCAGTCATTAATTTGATGAAAAAGTCACATGACACTGGCTTGCCATCACATAAACGACTTTGAAACCCCATTCCATATGATTTGTATTGGATTCTACTCACTACTTACACCATTAAGAAAAAGAAAAAGGATAAACTAGTTTAAACAAAAGGTTTACTCTGAGCCTGTGCTGCTAAAACATAAGTGCTTTCCCAAAATAGGATAAACATAATTAGCTACAATTAAAACATTTAAAAGGTCCATTATGCCATGATCTACAACTGTGATAGTATATTAATATCTCTTCCCAATAAATTTTTACCAAAGAAGAAAAAATAAAGCAGTATCATAGTAGTTTAATCAGGGAGGATTCTGCACTCCTGAGATTCCTTCCAGCCCTACTTTTCTATGGTTCTACGTGACAAGGAAGATGAAATATTAACCCCCCCCCACCGAATATGCCTCTTAAATATGTTTATATAGACCCATTTACACAAAGATAAAATAGCTGTAATGTTATATTTAAAGTGATGATGTATATTAAACAGTGCACTTAATAAAATAGACCCCCCCTTTTTTTAAACAAAAAACCCCATCATTTAATTCTTTTCTTCTTTTTTAAAATACAGAAAACTGATCAAGCCAAATTTTTATCATCCTGTCCAAATGAAATGGACAAATACCAATCAACTATTTTAAAAGTTTGAACAACAGTTTCATCTGGCTGAGCAATACATTTAAGAGAGCAGAAAGAGTCTGAAATTTCACTTGTAACTACTGAGGCTCATGCCTGATTTTCTTTTATGGTAAGCAACAGAAAATGTATGAGCTAGTTGGAAGTCGAATACTAGTTTCCTGACTACTGTCTAGGATTAAAAAATATTTCAAATAAGTATAACAAAAGCTGTCCTCTAAGTAAAAGGATAGTAAATACTCTGATCAATGTCTTCTTAACCCTGCAAATTGCATTTACAAACAGCAAACAGACACGGCAGCATAATTTTCTGTTTATTTCAAATGCTGAAGTGAAATGTTAATATGGATTGTTTTTCCCTCAAAAACTGAAAAGGAAGGTTATAAAGGTCGTGTAAAAAGCTAATATTCAACTTTTTGCATGGCTAATGAGTGACAATATTACTTCTGATAGAATGCTTGCAGATATGCTGGCATTTGGATTTCAAGAGGGAAGGAAAAGCCACGCCAGTCCATATGGTTCCTTTAAAACAAAAGTCTCCTGGGTTCAGGTGCAATAGTTCACTTAGTTTCAGAGCAGGAAAGACCTGAACAAATCCTCTCAGCTGCCTACTGACAGGTGCCATGAACTATTAAGGTTATTTTAAGGTAGGCTAATATAAATTTTTTAATTTTTATAAACTCAAATATACTTTATCACGATATCGATTAAAAAACAAACAAACCATGAGTAATTGCATGTCAGAAGGTTTTTCTCCCATTAGAACTGTGTCAGAAAATTGGGCCCGAATACCCGGAAAGTCAATGGAAGTTTTCCAATACAAATTAAAAAACAAAACAAAACTACTCTCCTGCCATTTATGATGACATTTGACAGTAGAAAAAAAGACAAAGAAGAGATTTTGTTAAAGGACAAAGCTTGCCTAGAACAAGCAGAAGTTTGAAAAGCCGTGCCAAAATGTCTTGCTGAAAAAAAAATTAAAAACCCACCACAGATTGTAAGGGAAGGCTTGGACGCTCCAAACCTGTATCTGAGTTAGTTACCATGTAAACGGACATACTGAACACAAAGCCTTGATGCAAAGCCCACTGAAATCAAAGGAAAGACCCCACCTGACTTCAAGGGGCTATGAACCAAATATATAATGTTACTCATGTGCACAGTGTTTGCAAGTTTCTTGTGAGAGACTTACAAGTTTTGCACAGAATTTGTAAAATAGTGAAGGGAAAAAAAACCAAGTCATGTGATTGAAATGTTTGACATTTAATTATTGCAAGTTAGAGTCTCAAGTATTACCTGCCTATACTTCACTGTAAAACATGAATAGATGCACACAAATTAGAAAAATCCCAACACATTGCTTCTGTGCAGGCACAATTTCGTTTGACATCATTATGTAACATTGTCTATATGAACACAAACATTTCCTTTAAAGAAAACTGTCCCCATGACATTGTGCTCTTTAAATAAGGCATAAATATTTAGTTTGATTTAAAATACTTCATTTGCATAAGAATAAATAGTACTGCACCCATTTCAGGATTTTTTTCCCCAAAATATATAAGTTTGTCTCAAGTGCCTTCATTGCAAAATAAGAAAAATAATCCTTTTGTAAACTGGAAAAAGAGCCTTTTTTAATATTCTATTAAAAATGGAAGGCATAAAAAAGGAATATGCAGTTGGTCAGCCCCAAGTGATCTAGGTATTCCAAATACGCAGTGCAAGAGAACTTATTACAGTAATATCACAATTTAATACCGGCTCTTCCAGGACAGACTCTAAAAATTGCTTCTTGCTGGTTAAAGTTGCCTAGGTCCAATCAATTCACAATTGTCAGCAGACTTTAGAGCATTAGGGCATTATTGCTCATACAGTAACAAAAAAAGGAATAAAAACAACATGATTTCGTTATACTTATTCATGTTACATCAAAAGGCATTCCTACTTCATTTACCTAGCATATTATGCTTTAGAATTCTTCATATGCTATAAGAAGATGAGGAATGGGGTTGGGGTGCGGGGGGGTGGGGAGGTATTTGTATGTTTTCTGTAAAACTATTAGGCTGAAAGTTGCATCACAAGTCTATTAGGTTTTTGGTTTAGTTAGTTAAAATGCATATTTCAACTCTACTTGCACTGTGCTACCTTGGTTTGTGCTAGCTATCTGTAAAGGCTGATTGAAAGAGATTCCTTTCATCATACAGGCACTGCTTTCTTTGCTACAGTAATAGAGGAATGCTCTGATAGACAGTACAGCTTCAGATGACTGGCAGCTACTGGGTAACTGCAAGTGGATGAGAGGTGGATTGAAAACATCCTTAATTTCTGCAGATGAAGTCTGTCCTTGTAGCAACCACTCATTACCTGAAAAAAAAGAAAAAAAAAACAGACAGACATGCTTTATCACTGGTTTTTAAAGCAGGGAGTTAAATATCTTATAGGATTGCATTGATTTAGACATGAATTTCACTTCCTGATTACAACAGTTTTGTCCTATGTGCAGCATTAGGGGAATTTCATATGATTCTCCCACTCAAGATGAAACTGAAATAGAATTCAAACACTTTTTAATAGCAAGTTTCAGGCCATGCAGTTACACAACATAAGCTTGAATTTATGTAAGGGGGCACTTTAAGGTGCCTGTGTAAAGGATGTGCTAAGCATCTGTGATATGCTTTGTAAGCCGAGTCAAATTTTACCTTCAACTATTCAAGTGCAATTTTTGTTGAATTAACTGGAAGCAAGGCATGTATATCATCAAGATAACATGACTTGAGCCAAAAGTACATAGAACTGTAGAGTGATGATACATTTTCAAATAGGAGTGTTGGTTTGCTGTAATTTAACAATGTTTGGATTAGTCATTACAAGGAGAACTGGAAATTCTTATTTGTTTAACTATTTAAGAGTTAATGACCCAACAATTTAACTATATAAAACATGCAAAAACAAGGTGGCAAACTTGCCATTGTACCCTGCGTCTTGCCATAAAGCAAGATGGATGAAGTGCTCTTTCTGGTGATTTTCATAATATTTGCATAATTTGTCAGCTTCAAATTAAAAAGAAAGAAAGAAAAAAAAAGAGAAAGAAATCCTGTAGGACTTACAAGCTTACAATGAATTGTAAAAATGCAAAATGTAAGCAATGTAGGTTTACTAATCCTCAAAAACATAATAGGTATCTTGACCTCAACTGTATTTGGAGAGTTCGTAGGCCAGAAAAAGGATGCTGACTCTGCTATATAAAAGTGGTTATCCATTTTCCAAAAGCATATGTTGGGATGAGAAACTTCCTCAAATCACAGGTGTCCAAATAAATTGTCAGTGCCAGCAAAGCATTTGCAGCTTGCTCACAATAGTGACTATTGCAATTAAGCCACCACATGGATAAAAAGGCATTTTAGAAGCCAGCCAACAAAAGCTCCTCTCAAAGATAGAGATGTTTCATTTTTATCTTATTTTAATTTAAGATAAGAGTATTGTCTAACTATCAGAAATAAGAACCTAGGTCAGTGTTGTTAGTCTCATAACACTGCTGTAAAGTACTCCTTTTTCTTCCAATTGTATTGACTGGCAACTGAGGTGGACCAAGACGACTGTATTTATTTGAACCCAAGATAATCCTGAATGTGAGAGAGCCCCCCCACCCTTCCAAGAATTAGATTTTATACATGGAAAAATTTATAAATGTTATAATTTTCCATGTATAGAATCTAATTATTGGAGGGTTGTCTTTCTTTCCTCTTTTCACTGAAGGGGGGCAGGCACGGGGAGGTCAAGCAGCATGCCCCCTGCTTGTGCCTGCCCCCCTGCCACCTCTACCCCCTGCCTGCCACCTCCAGTCTCTGCTTCCTGCTTCTCCCTCCAGCTTCTGCTCCATGCCAGCAGGCTCTATCCCAGCCCAGTGTCTGTAGTAATAGTAGCTGTGTGTCACTGCTATGGGGCTGGGCTGGGGCCATGCTCAGTACCCCAGGCTGCAGTGTGCATAAAACCTGCCACTGCAGAGCAACAGTAAGGAACAAGAGGAAGAGTGGCAGCAGACAGGGGAGTAGAGGCTGTGTGGGTGGGGGAAGGGACATGGGGAAGAGAGGCTGCAGGGGGGAGATGGCAAGGTGCAGGGCAGAGGGGGGACAGGTAGCAGATGCGAATATGGCCCTGACCCTGAGTAGGGGCTACAGCCTGAGCCACAGCAGCCAAATGCCTCCCCCCCCTTCCCCCTATACTCGATTCTAAGACAAGGGGCTCCCCCTGATGTTAAATGGGAAGAAAACTAGGTCTTAGAGTCAAGTAAATACAGTAAAAGAACTGCCCAAGGGAATACAGGAAGTTATCAAAAGTCAGAAATAAACTCCAGTTTTCCGTTTCCAGGCTTTGATGCCTGCAATCTGTTCTCTCATGTAACTGGATGTGCCTCACTGCATTCACTTACTTAAGGTAGGTTGGTAGGTATGATGGTGAATTAGGGTCAAATTTTGGTTAATGCAAATTTTGTTTAAATAAATTTACAAGGAAAAATGTAATACCCTTTACTGGAACACTTCAGCCTTCATACTAAATTCTGAGTGGATCTAGCTGTTGGTTGCCTAAAAGAGATGAGAAGGGTAGGGCAGCCTACCTCCCAAAGCTGGGGGCTGAGCTAAAGGTGGAGGGGAAGCATCTGAAAAGCGAAAGGAGGCCAAGTATATATTGTTGTGGGAATCGCAACTCTGACAGTCCTTGCTGACAGATGCTGGAAGTTTCAATCAACGCTCTGACCTGTTTTGTTTTTTTTTGTTTTTTTCACTGAATTTTTCTACAGCGACCATAAGTAGAATATGGACAGAAAATGAAGAATTAGGAAAAAAAAAAAAAAAAAAAAATCAGATTGGGAGAAAGAAAAGTTCTCCCCCGTTTCCAAGTGTTAACAGACTACTTCAAGTCTAAAATATGTCCTCCTGGTATTACACATGGTATTTACAGTGGTTAGAGCAGCACTGCTCCTATTTAGGAGCCTAATGTTTCTAAAAGGTTGGCATGGAGAATTTTTTTTTTTTTTTTTTTTTTACTGTATTCAGATAGGGAAATGGAAGGAAAGAGACTTTTGACCTATTTTTGATCACGTTTAAGAACTTTACTATTCTAGTTATATCAAATATCATAAAACCTCAGAAGAAAGCACCTTACAAACAATATGTAAGTTAAAAATTGTGACATGCTTATCTTCACAAGATGCCTATGATGTACAGAAATTCTATTATCCCATTTTACAGATGGGGAAACAAACACAAGGCAAAACCCAGCTAGACCAACTAGGCATCTTAATGAGATTTAGGTTTTTTTTTTGGTATTTAAATTTGCAGTAAGCAAGCCAGAATACTTCTGCCCCACAAACCAGAAACCTCAGTAAAGTGCCTAACACACACCACCATCGTTTCAGTGCAAAATATGGCAGCCACAGCTGCTTTCCTTTAACAACAAAAGAACATAAGAAACGGATGCTGCAAATGGGAGAGGAGCAGAAGGTAGAAGACCGGCTATGCCCTGTTCACCCTCCTGTTCGGCATCCATGCTTTGCCAGGATACTGGGCTAGATGGCCCTATCGTCTGACCCAGTAATTACGATTTCTTATGTTTTATGGTGGTGCTCTGATGGTCCAAGGTGGACAACTCATGTATAGCCCTAAGTTAGGCAGCTAAGTTCCAGAGAAGGGCTGGACTTTAGACAGCCCTGTACTTAGGATCTCTTATTGGGTAGTATTAAGATGCTTCCTTCTTGGTGTCTGGGCTCCTTGAATCACCTGTAAGAACTCTCCCACTGACTCTGTTGGGAGCTGAGATACCTAACTCTGTTTTCTTTTAAATCATCCTCCTGAGGGCAGCTGCCTATTTTTGTTTGACCTATGAGCAAGAATCAGATTGGCCCCTCAGAAGCCAAAGTCCATATCCTCAGCAATGTTTTAACTACTACCTCTCACCAAAAACAGCAGCATTTAGAAATCTAAATATCTTTTAGGACTTTAAAAGGAAATATAAAGGAAGTCTGTGGCAGATCATGGGCTCCAAGAAGCCAGTCTCAGGCTACTGTTCTGACCACTAGCACATGCATCCTTTCATCACATCCAATTGTACCTGAAGAAATTTATATTTGAACTGAAGTTCCGAATGCTGAATGTACCTTACAGGCCTGGTAACAGCTGCCATGTAAAACTAACTAGCCCAGACAAAAACTATTTTCTTACCATACCTGTAATGATTGACACAATAATCTAAACTTAATATTTTACTTGTTTATCAAAACGTACTATACGCCTCATATACAAGTGTGTGCATTATACAAGTATATATACCAGTATATTTGATCTAATAACAATGGCTCTTCACCTTCTGCTGTGAGAAACCATGAATTGGGTGCTTCCTCATTCAGCTCTGAATCTTCAGGAAGGCTTAAGCGTAATAAAAACTGAAGCGTCTGCCCAGGAGAGACAGTCAATGAAGGAAGTTGAATGTTTGGTGCAGATTTAGGCAGCTTTGGTAGGCTTGCCATGTTAGGCTTTTGTGCAAGTGGATGATCTAGAACATCAAATGCTTCAGTGGTCAGGATAGGCAGCTATCAATGAAACAAACAAACAAATTAATATAAATTCATATATGAAAGCATCTTCCCCGATGCACGACTCTGCAGAGCATCATGCAATTTATATTTATAGTACACACCTATGCAGATAATGTGAATGAATAAGCTTACTGAACTTAAGGTGTATACTCTGCAATATATAAATTGCAGTGAGTACATCTGCCAGAATACAGAAATGATGCAAAGATTGGAAAGGGTAACAGAAAGACCCAGAACAGCTCTTGCTTTTAAACTGTAAAAGATCTGCCCATGTTATTTTTTCCTTCTTTATTTAAATTTTAAACTACATCACATTTCAGTTTTGCCCGTTGGCTCTTACTGTTAACTTGCTAATTACTGTAACCTCAGATAATAAAATTTTTGGTCTTTGACCATGCAGATTATGCTGCCCATGACATGATCATCACATCCAATAAGCATCTAAAAAGGTAGTATTTTAGTATCACTGGTAAATTTTATTGAAAACACCTCAAGACAGCCAAACGTATATTTAAAACACACCTCAGCTACAAGGAACACAAGTAAGCCTGTGTGACAGTGTACCTACTTGGAAATAGCTACCAGCTATGCATACTGTTGTAAACACAGAAAGAGAAATCTGTTTTGCTTTATATGTAAAAAGGCAAAAAAAAAAAAAAAGCAGAACCCAATTTTGAAAGCAGTCTCAGTCTGACCACTTGTGTACATAAAAATCAGGGCCGTTAAAAAATTCTGCATTTGTTTAAGCAAAATTAAATAGAGGCGCACTGATACGTTGGTCCATATTGTATTGGCATCGATAAGAGGAAAATTGACATAATTGGTAATCAGCCTTTTTTGGCCGATGCGGCTGATAATGTTGCTGATAAATGCCATGTGTGTGCATGTAGCTGCAACATGCACATGGCCAGGAGTGCAGCCCAGCAGCTTGGAGAGCAGTGTCCAGCTGGTAAGTCTGTGGGAGGGTGGGCAGATCAAGGCCCCCATGGTGAGGGAGGGAGTGGGGCTGGGGCAAACACTGCCCAGCTGGGGCAGAGCGCAGGACGGAACCAGGGCATGTAGGGGCATGCAGTTCCCACCACTGTGTACACACCTGGGGAGGCATGGGGCGGGGTTTGTGCCCCCTGGATCTGTGCTTGGACCAAGGGCAGGCTGCTGCTGTATGCTTGGAGCTCTTCCCGGAGGGGGCTGGACCAGGGCTGCATTCAGGGCAGATGGGACAGCAGCAGCACTGGGAGGGGGGGCTACGGCAAATTCTGGGGTGGCTGTACCTCTCCTCCCCATAACCCCACCTCAGACCTGCCTCTGCTTGCCCCAAGTGCAGCCTGGGCCCAGCCCTGCCCGCTGGGAAGAGCCTGGCACAGCCTCTATCCCCTGGAAGCAGTCTGTCCCTGCCCTGGGCACAGATCCATGGGTCACATGCCTCCCACGCCTTCCCCGGGGGTGTGCGCAATGGCAGGAACTGCCCTTCTCCACCGCTCTCCTGGATGAGCCATAGCTCTGTCTCTCGCCCTGCCCCGGCTGGGGAG